ATTCTTTGGTCAAAGTACATTTAGGTTGTTCCGAGATTCTGGCTATTACAAATAGTGCTGCTATGAACATAGTTGAACACACGTCCTTGTGGTATGATTGAGCATCCAAAAGTGGTATTGCTGGATCTTGAGGAAGGTTGTTTCCTAATTTTCTGAGAAATCGCCATACTGATATCCAAAGGTGCTGTACCAGTTTGCACTCCCACCAGCAATGCAGAAGTGTTCCCTTTTCCCCACAACCTCTACAGCATAAGTTGTCATCAGTGTTTTTGATCTTGGCCATTCTTACAGGTGTTAGATGGAATCTCAGAGTTGTTTTGATTTGCATTTCTCTGATGACTAAGGATATTGAGCATCTCTTTAAGAGTCTTTCAGCCATTTTAGAATCCTGTGTTGAGAGTTCTCTGCTTAGGTCTGTATCCCATTTTACAACTGAAACCATGAAAGCAGTAAGGGAATAGACTGGTGTCCCTCAAACTTTGATAGACCACAATTGCCAAATCAACAAAACTATCCGTCATAACCAAAGGTGAAAGAAAAAAAAACAGATCTAAAGAAAAGTTATGACCAGTTATGATCCAGTTCTATAGAAGATACTAGAAAGAATATTTCAGTCTGTGAGAAAGGTGAAAATATCAAGAGACGACAGGAGGAAAACACAGGTGAAGCTAAAGCACTTACCAAACAAAAGAAGACCAGGGCCTGAATACCATGTCAACAAAATGATCGGGAGTAGGAGACACCTCTCAGTAGTAAATCTCAACACCAGTGTGTAGATGGAGTGGCGGGCTGCTTTCCGCCACCTGGGAGGGCTCCCGGCTACAGGCTAGCTTTACCCAAAATAATTACATGGAAACTGTATTCTTTTAAACACTGCCTGGCCCATTAGTTCTAGTCTCTTATTGGCTAATTCTCACATCTTGATTAACCCATTTCTAATAATCTGTGTACCACCAGCATGTCTGGTGTACCATTCAGCATGTCTGACGGGGCGGTTGGCTCCATGGCGACTGACCAACTATGCTTTCTTTCTCCCAGCATTCTGTTCTGTCAACTCCACCTATCTAAATCCTGCCCTATCAAAAAGCCAAGGCAGTTTCTTTATTAACCAATGAGAGTAACACATAGACAGATGAGCCTCCTCCATAATTTCCCCTTTTTCTGTTTAAACAAAAAAGAAAGGCTTTAACTTTAACATAGTAAAATTACATATAACAAAAACAGTTATCAAGCAAGAATTACAGTTACAATATTTATATCTACTTTATCTTTTATCTTAACTAAGGAAAACAGTAACTATCTATATATTCTTCAACTCCATCAAAGACTCCAGAAGGATATAATATTACCTAAGCAAACAAGAAATAAGCAACTTCCAAACTCTAGAAATAACAGAGACATCTCGCTGCCTAGACAGTCACCCAAAGTTCTTTTGTACCGTTGGGGCATCCATCTTCAGCCTTCAGGCCCGTGGTATCCAGCAGACATTTCCATGAAGCAGAAAATTTCAAAGACAGTTCAGTCACTATCTGCTGTGTCCTGCAGAATGTCTTGCAGACTCTTTCATGAATCAGGAACCCCAAAAGATCATCTCACCTTTAGGCAAGTTCAGCAGTCCTCTCTCTGCGGGTTCTTTGTGTCCAGTTTATGCAACAGTCCAGGCAAGAGCAGTTTCTTGCCCAAATGGCTATCAAACTCCATAAGGAGCCTCTTCGATGCCCATCTTCCTCTTGAAGTAGATTGGTGCTGCCAGGAGCAGACATGTCTCATTGCCATGAAAAGCCCTAAGTTATTAAAACATTAAATGCCATATTCTGTAGTCTTTGAAAGATATGAAGAATGCCTATCTAACTGAAATATATCTCTATATACCTAGAAAATCTAAGTAACATGACTACAAGCTTGATTATTATTGATGATTATCCATTAACAACCTATATTTCCTAATTATACATTATATTTTTAAATGAACTACGTAATCATAATACCTTAATCAATATCAGAAATACATATACATATAACAAATTGACCTTAAACTTGTATCAATAAGTCAAGATTTATACCAATGCAAATTATTCATATCTATATCACCAATGATCTCAATTCACCCATGGAAGAGCGTAGACTGGTAGAGTGACCAGGGACAGAACCCCGCCTGCCTGTGCAAGCCTCCCATTCCTGGACCTAGTGCTGGACTCTCTCTCACACAGGCCTAACCCGATGAGTTCCCTGCTAACCTGCCCATGCCAAGGTCACACTCCTAGACTCGCCTTGTACCAGCCCAGCACACTAGCCCCACATTGCTACAGCAATGAGACAGAGAAATCAAAGTTTTACTTAGTGATTTCTGTTTGTTGAAAATTATATTAAATCCATTAATATTTTTATAATAAAGAAAAATAAAGATCAGAATTGAAAAGCTCCACAAAATAAAGTTTTATTTTATTTTTAAAGATTTATTTATTAGGTATACAGTGTTCTACCTGCATGTCTGCCTGCAGGCCAGGAGAGGGCACCAGAGCAGCCAGTGTTCTTAGCCACTGAGCCATTTCTCCAGTCCCAAAATAAAAATTTTAAAACTTTGATTCTCAATGATTTACTTCATACCTGAATAGACTGGTTCAAACTGACAGCTGTCGAGAGCATTCTTAGCATCGAATAAACACTCTTAGTACCGGATTTGTGACCACTGGGTATCACCTTCCAGCAGTCAGTGTTTCTTGGAGAAATGGCTGATTTCAGGAGTGGAGCAGGTAACAGAGAAGCTGAGACATTTTAGATATTAGGTAGCAATAAGGGCCTTAATATGGTTCTTAACCTTCCTAATGTTGGGACCCTTTAATTCAGTTCCTCATGCTGTGTTGACCCCAAACCACAAGATTCTTTTCGTTCCCACTTCATAACTATAATTCTGCTACTGTTAATGAATCGTAGTGCAAATATTTTTGGAGATAGAGGTTTGTCAAAGGGGTCATGGCCCACAGGTTGAGAATCACTGAATAAGGCTGGCAACTATTTCTCAAGTTCCATAAAAAGCAATTGGGAGATTTGTGCTGTCTAATTAGAAAATTTTGACACCAATTCTAATGGAACAATTCTTACATCAACAACAATAACTTCAGTGGGTCTGATCATTAGCTTTAAGTCTGTTCGTTCAAGAGGACCCAAAAACCCCAAAGTTAGGGGGTAGGAAAATACTAGGAGGCCCCTTGAATTCACTTCTTTGGCTAAAAACTTGGAAGTAAATAACGAAGAAAAACCTATTCTGCCTTTCCTAGAAAAGGAATATAACTGGAAAAAAATGCTGGAGAAACTTCCTCTAACACAGCATTATACTAAATGCATGAAAAATAATAGTAGCCCTGGCATAGCACCACTCTGAAGATGCTAAGAAGTGAGGGATGGAGATTCCAGTAGCTCAGCACCACACACATCCCAGTAGACCAGCTCCTGGCAGACTCAGGACCCTCACCTGCCCTTCCATACAGAACACCCAGTTCCTCCTGTGTGTCATTTCCACTAAGTGTTAAATGGATGCATATTGAATCCCAGGAGCCCAAGGAATGAACTCCTTGGTATTTTCTATTGCTTTATTAGAATACCTAAAGTGTCATTTTGACTGAATGGGTCTCCCCTAAGAGCCCCCGGATTGCTCAGGCAAGTTGGTGCTGGGCTGGATGAAGAGCAGGTGAGGGGATGGCAGAAGGAAGTGTACCTGGGTTTGAAATCAACAAGAGCAGAGCTGCAGAGGCAGCGTCCCACCTTACCAGCCTTTGTGGAGTCCTTCCTTTGCGCACACGCTTTGAGCATTCATGAAACTTCACGACAGTTGTGTAAACATTGTATTTCTACCTGGCAGCTGAGGAAACAGGCCCAGAGAAGTAAATAGGGGTGTCTAATGTCTGGTGAGTTCAGTGCCGTGATGAGACTTCCACCTTTGCTGCTGGCTCCAAATATTTCGGATATTAAGTCATGGCAAGCTTTCTCTAGATTTCAGGTTCCTTAAATGGGACCAGAAATTAGGGCTGGAGAGATGGCTCAGAGGTTAAGAGCACTGGCTGCTCTTTCAGAGGTCCTGAGTTCAGTTCTCAGTAACCACATGGTAGCTCACAACCATATGTAATGAGATCTGGTGCCCTCTTCGGGTGTGTATGCAGGCTAAATAAATAAATTTTAAAAATGTGACCAGAAATGAACACAGTTACTCTAGATTCCCCTTGTGCAGGTAGAAGGCGGAGCCACTATGTACCCTAATGACACCTGGTGATGTTTGTGGAAATGCTTTGCAAATGATACAGCCCTTAATAGATGGTGTCATTACAAGGTTGAAAGGTGTATATCCCCTTTTAGTGAATACACTCTACCAATCACATGCAAAATTGAGGAAAACTCTTGTCTTCCAATGTAAGGTCTATAAGTTCAGGCCACCCAAAGGGAGGGATTCTTTTAAAAGGGCCTTTTTTTGTTAAGGAGTTATCTCTGCTGGTGCATACTGAAACAACTGTCTTGATGTGTTTGCGGTGCTGTGCTGTGGTCACGGGAGAGGAACCATTTAAGCACCAGAAAAGGCAAAGCAAAAGCAGAATATGCATCCAATCAAATTAGGACTAGATCCTGGTCCCAGGACAGCAAGTGCACCTGTCCTTTTCCATCTCTACAACTAGAAGATGTCACCGAGAACTATTGTCTAGATAACAATCAATGGTCTTTGAGACCTCGTTTCCCCAGAGTGTGGTAGGGTTATTGAGGGGAGCTATAAGGAAGACACTCTAAAGTATGTGGCAATCCAGGTCTTGCCCAGGGAGGAGGAACCTGGGTTATTCACGGGGTTTTCCCCAGGTGCTGTAAGCCCCAGCCTTATTTCATTGCTTCCACTCAGAGCAGTGAGGAAGCCACAAGCCCCAGGCCTCCGTCTAGCTTTTGTTAGGGGACTTCTCACTGTCAGCTCTTCTTTGTGAAGCCAGTGCTGTATTCCCAGGGAAGGAGTGTCTGTCCAGAGGTACAGAAAGCAAAGGCTGGAGGAGGAGACACCTGCAGAAGAAGGGGCAGGGACTGGAGGCCTCGGCTAAAGAAGGAAACAAACAGCCAATAAGAGGAGACTGCACTCTGCTCTGCTGGGCTGGGACAACAGGAGGTCAGGTATTTCCGAATGTGAGCTTCTACAGATGCCCGATTTCCTTATGAGGCTACACTCAGAGGCTGTCTAAACATGGTGAAGAAGTTCTATCTCTCTTGTTTAAGCTGTCCTCCAAACAGGAACACTTTCTCTTCTTTTCTAGATGAATTAGGTACTAGCAGTCCTTTATCTATTTGCATGAACATTTGATTGCGGATTTACCTCTACACAATTTCTTCCTTGAGACTTTACTACTGTTTCTTTTATGTATAGAGGATGCATAGCAATGTGAGCCAGTCAGAGAGTAGGCAGAGCCCATCAGTTCAGCGGCCTGCAAGGTCAGGCGTGTTTTCATCTTTCAGAGTTCAGGTGTATAGTTCAACAAGGCTGAGGTATGGCTTGTGACATTAGAAGTCATGGTTAGGGAAGTAAAAAGGTTACACGAACAGAATCCAAACTTCCTTTGGCATTGTTTTCTAGCAGTTTTCTGGGAGGCTAGCTGGCAGGGGTTCTGCCATTCGCAAGCTGGTTCTTGTCTCTGTTGGTTAATAAAGACACTGGTTTTCTCTCCCATGCATACGAGGTGCTGCCCTGTTATGATAGGCTCATCTGAGGTGGGTTGGTGGCAGTAGGAGAGTTTCCTGATGGAATGGGAGTTTGTATGTTATTTGATGTTTTTGTGTTGCTCGAGAATCCTTCATATGCTCAATCCTTAGGCTGTAACATTAAACATTTCCATCTGGAGGTGTCAATTGTAGCGTCAAGATAGAGCAGGGTGAGGCCTGTGACGTTTTCCTCCACACCCCCTGCATTGTTTCTCAACTGGGGAAAGCTGAAGACTTGGTTGGCAACAAAGTGAGTGAATATGTCACACTGAGCATGAGTAAGAAGTTCATTTCTGCCTACAAACGCAAACAAGATTCGTGGGTCGGGGCACACCAAAGTCATCCTCACTTTATCTCCAGTTCTGAGACTCTCCACCAATAGAAACAACTGCAAGACTGGGGTTTCCACTAGAAGCCCTGGAGAGAGGCAGATCTGGCTGAGAGGGGTAGTCTCTGTCCCTACTCATCTGAGAATTTTGGACATGTGATTTAAGACATACGCTCTCCCAGGTGACTGTGAAACTTACTGAAGTGTCTAAAGATCCTCACACAGCATCTGGACCACAGGATGTGTTCAGTGAGTGGGAATAGCTGGTTTTTATCTCCATGTTAGAGCAGAGATTGACTGCTCATTTCTCTGAAATCTTGGGATAGGAAACTTAACTATATGACTTTCCCTACTTGTGATTGTCCAATAGGTCATGTGATAGAAATCGTTCCTGCCTCTACTTGTCACTCAGTGCTGTGTATTCTCTGTTTTAAAAAATAGTCTTCATGATAATTGTCTTACAGGGATTTCATAAGGGCCAAATATAAAACTGCCACATTAGAAATGAAAATATCTATACAGGGTCCTTATTACTGCTACCAAAGGACTTTAGAAATTGTATTTGTCTGCCTTGGAAGACTCAATATCAGCCATGTTGACTGCAAGGAGCAGGTGTCTCCTGGGCTGTAGAAAGTGACTGTGGAGAACTGCTAGCTACGGTCATTAGGCTCCTCATATCTGTGGAACAGCTGGGGTGTGCGGGTGACCCCGAGAAGCCTGAGCCAAGTGCTAGCCCTCAGGAGGCACTCGGAGAGTAGGGAAACAGACAGGGTGCTGTGCAGTTAGCACAGTCATGGTAACTGTCTGTGTTCTCCAGGGCTAGTACACCCCAGGACTGTTGGTAAGACTCGCTGATGGGATCCCGGGACCACCTGAAGATGCTGCCCAGGCTCCTTGTTTTCTCTGCTCTCGGTCTCCTGGTGTGCGGTAAGTTTTCTTTCTTCTTATCAGAAGTGCCCTTGCTGACTGACACACAACCGTCCTCGTGTGGAGAAACAGAAACGCTCCCCGTGTTGTCTTTACTAGAACATGTGTGCCTTTGTCACTTGTCGCATTGCTCTGGAACTGACAGATTGGCATTGGTGTCCTGCAAGCTGTTGTTATCTTCTGCAGGTTAGCATGTGACCTTAATCACACGAGTGAAATGAGAAGGATATCAGCCACTTCTTAGCATTGTTTTTAATTACTTAATTTTTACTTATTCTTTGTGTCTTTCACATCATGCTACCCGATCCCACCCATCTCCCTCCCCACCCCAAAATAAAACAAAATAAAATTTAAGAGAAAAAGAAGAAAAAAAGAAAAAATAGGAAGGGGAAAAATCTCATCATGGAAGCTACAGGGTGACAGCAAGTCACCTCTTTATCTGTATTCTTACATGTAGGCATTTATGAAAAAGAATCACTGATCTGTTACTGGGGATTTAATTAGGTATTGTACTGATTGCTTTTCTGTGACAAAATATTTGAGAAAAGGATTTACTTGGGCTTGCAGTTTTAGGCCACACACATGCGCACATGTGGTGTGCGTGTGTGCGTGTGTGTGTGCGCGCACGTGTGTGCGCGCGCACACGTGTGGAAAGATACAGTGGCAGGAATTTAAGGCATTTGGTTTCTACAGCTGTGAGCTGGGTGGTGGTGGAGGTAGTGCACGCCTTTAATTCTGGGATTTAGGAGGCAGAAGCAGAGGCAGGCAGATCTCTGTGAGTTCGAGGCCAGCCTAATCTACAGAGTGAGTTCCAGGACAGCCAGAGATACACAGAGAAACCCTGTCTCAAAACAAAACAACTGCATTCCACATCTGTGAAGCCGAGAGCAGTGAATTCCTCTCATTCAGCTGCTACCCCAGCTCACGGAATGTGTTGCTTTCAATAAGGGTCGAGCTTCCCAGTCAACTAACCTAATCTGGACAATTCCCTGCGGACATGCCTAGAGACTGGTCTCGTCAATGATTCCACGTCTATTCAAGCTGACTGTAAAGGTTTAGCACATCGTTCAGATCATGGCGGTGAGGTAATTTGTAGCTCTAACCGCTGTACCATTCCTATCATCACCACCATCATCAAGTTAACCCCGTCCAGAGTTTATGTTTGTAAATAAATACCAATTATGTCGGCGCAGGGTTGCCTTTATAATTTTATAAAGTGATTGGGCCTCAAGTAAATATATGTGAATTCTGTTGAGTTACATGAATTTGAGTTTGGTACTTCTTAAATGCCGGACAAATTTTCATGTTGTCTGACACAATTTAGCTAGCTCTCTGCTTTCTACCCTTAGGTAGACATGTTACTGGGTTACATACAGAGTTGAAGAACTCGCAGATCAAAGAGTGCATGGTTGATCTTTTCATGGTGTGCATGAGGACACTAAGGTCTGATGGGGAAGTAGCTTGCCCGAGGGTGGCAGTGAGTTGAATTAGCCCTCAGTTAGTTGCCTGGTTCTGCTTTGTGTCTGCCATACTCACTGGCTGATGGCTCTGCTTTACCTCTGAGGGTCCTGTAGGATTTATGGTCCTTGTCTCCTGCCGTAGTGAGGCTTTCATTACATCTGCCTTCACTCAACCCAGCCCTAGGGTCACTGAAGCCTTCCCTGGTCCCTAATCAGAACAATGTTGCTTTCTATGGGTCACCTGCATACCTACCAACAGACCCATGGGTGCCACATACCAAGATGGCTGTCATTATCTTGAGTAAACTTAATTTATGAAGTATATACCAGTTCTTGGACAGAAATATATGGATCACTGTGATTGTCCTCAGAGATATTTAATAAAGATCATTTTCTATTGTCTCATTCTTGGGTCCTTGGACCCCTTATTGCTCAAGCTACACCCTTGCAGCTACAAATAGGTTCCCAACATCAGCAGTTACCCCCACTAACCGGACCACTTGACAAGGCTGAGGACAGGTCCAGGTGAGTACTGAGCCCAAGCTGGGCTATAGAGATGAGAATGGGCAGCGGTGGCTGATGAAGCCCCCCCCTCCCAGGGCTTCCAGATGTCCCAGTGGGGGAGCTAGTGCTTGGGCATGGTCTGCTGCAGGCTAATCTGTGGTTTCTCTTACAGGCAGTCCTACCATAGTTTCCCGGAAAGAGTGGGGGGCGAGCTCCCTCACCTGCAGTGTGCCGCTGAGCCTGCCCGTGGCCTACCTCATCACAGAGCAGCTCAGCAGGATGAAGTGCCGAGATCAGGCCAGCTGCAGCCGAATGGTGCGAGTCCTACAGTCCCATTCCATCTATAACAAAGGCTGGTGTGATGTGGCCTTCAAGTAAGAGGGCGCCGGGTCTCCAAACCCACACTCAAGGCTATCCCTCATAGAATTCTCCTGGTTTTCCTTATTCTGTATCTCCCATCTTCTGGGCTTCATTTGTGTTGTGTTTTTGATGACTGAAAAGTGTTAAAAAAAAAAGAACTCAAACAAAATCCAGAAGCCATTAGGAGGAACAGCCCTGTGGGTGCTTTTATGCTGGGTGATCTTGAAAGAACACACAGACGGTTACAAAACCACTGCAGCCACCCCAGGAGCCCCCACCATGATGGCTCACAAGGGCTTCATTGCTATCAACCAGTTAGGAGCAGAAGGAGAAGAGAGTCTGTCTTTCTCCTATTGCTATCTTTATTACATAAATGAGAATGCCATAGTCTATGGACACCAAAGAATTTCTTTAAAGCGGCACATCAAGGGACATGGGTTCAGAATTGTGTTGAGACTGCATGTTAATATGGCCCAGGCCCCTTCTCTTCCAGTCAGTGCTCATACCTATGATATGTTTTTCCATTTAGTACCCTGGGTATCACAAGGGGATGAGTGGACAGGGGACAGGGAATGGTGGGGAGAGCCCATGTTCAAATGAGCACAAGGCATGAAGACTATCTACTCTGAGGGTTCTATGCAAGGCCCCCAAGTTTTTCTCATTAGCCTCAAGAAAGAGAAAGCTCGCAAATATATTTAGAGAAAGAGCAGGGATGGGGGTTAAAAAACAAATAGAAAGAAGTTGTAAAGACTCCATTTTGAAAAGGATGGTCTGTGCTTCCACACACTTTCAGACTGAAGCCTCAGAATGCAAGAACAGCTGGAGACAGGCCGTGTAACCTGCATCTGTATGCTAGGGATCTCTGCTCAGTCCTCGGTGGAAGCTGTGTTGACTTTGTTAGACACAGTTTGTCTGCCTGTCCCTGTCCCCATCACCACATTGTTAGACACAGTTTATCTGCCTGTCCCTGTCCCCATCACCACATTGTTAGACACAGTTTATCTGCCTGTCCCTGTCCCCATTACCACATTGTTGTTCCTGAAGTGTTGCTTATTCTAGTCATGGTGTTTCTTGGTGATTTCGATGGCTCTGTCTCTAAACAATCAGGTTTCTGCAGTGACAATGCATACCTCCTTTTGATAGTGTGGTTACTGCAGATGTAGGGAGTGACAGAGGAACCTGCTGGAAACACCAAAGAGCAGTGAAGTGGTGGGTACCTGATTCTCGGTGTCAGGTGACAGAGCCTTCAGGTGAGCAGGGTTTCACTTGACCCTAGAAAGTGTTCTTGCTGCTTTCAGTTTGTGTTGGAATTCACAGTCTAGTAAACTGCTGAATCTAGCAAGAGTTATGAAACACCATTTTCAAGGTGGATTGGAAAGTAGAGAACAGCAGAATGGGCAGAAATAAAAGAAGGGGTAGAATAAAAAATATAGACATGATTTTAAAATAAACTTAATAAAACAAAACAAAATATATTTCTGTGACTAAGAGTCTACAGGATCTGTGAGGAGTGGGCTTAAGGAAATTCTTGAGTTGTAGCCAATTGTTTTAAAGAAGGCTCAAGTGCTTGGTCCTATGGTTAAAAACAAGAGCATGGTGGACTATGCTGGATGTCGTGGTGCCCGACTGTAACCACAGTTCTTAGGAGGCTGAAGCAGGAGGACTTCAGTGACCTCAAGGCCAGCTGAGGCTATGCAGTAAGTTCCAGGCTAGCCTAGGTAACAGGGAGAGATCATGTTTCAAAGGCTGTCCACTCCCAAATAACAACTGCAATAAAATGAATTAACCAGGAGGGAAAGATAGTGTCTTCAGCTCCTGGAGAGTCACACATTCAAATTCCACTTTGAACAAAGTGATTATTGTTTTTTTTTTGTAGGTATGATTCCTCTGTGTGACAGTCCCAGCTGTCCTGGAACTAGCTTTGTAGACCAGGCTGGCTTCGAACTCATAGAGATCCTCCTGCCTCTGCTTCCAGAGTGTTGGGATTAAAGGTGGAGGTGACACATTCCTTTTTCCCTTCCTTCCTTCCTTCCTTCCTTCCTTCCTTCCTTCCTTTCCTTATTTTTAAGTGAGTCTCAAAAACACCTGTAATGGAAGACAAAACCAAAATTGAAATACAATCCTATTTCTTTAGGCTGCCCAAAATTGTTTCTTTTGTCGTTCATTATTATATTATCAAAACTTCACTTTTTTATGAGCCTCTAGGACCACTTTAGGAAAGTGAATTTCCTCGATACAGAGGTTTACCACTAAACCTGCATTTTTTTTTTTTTTTTTTTGCTTGGCAGCTTCCTGGTTGGGGACGATGGCAATGTGTATGAAGGTGTCGGTTGGCATGTCCAAGGCTTGCATGCTCCAGGCTACAGTAATGTCTCCCTGGGCATTGCCTTCTTCGGCAGTAAAATAGGTAATGGTCATCCCTCCAGACTCAGAAGGTGCCTGCACCCTTAATTCACCTCTTGCCTCCACAGTCACATCTTTTAGCCTGCCTTGTAGGTACCATCTCTGATATCCCTGTCTCTGGAAATCCTTCCTGCAGTGGCGCTCTGTGAGATGCAGTTTGTCCTCTTTTGGTCTATTCTTGTTAATATATTGCTGCAGTTGCCTTGGGCGTTGGGTTCACAGTTATGGTCAATGGAATCTGAATCATCCTACCATTGATATTTTAGTTGCCAGAGGCAAACAGCATGGATTATTTCTTCTTCAGTATCTTTGTTGATAGAGGCAAAAAAGAGGTGAGCAGGCAAAGTTGGAGTCGGGAGTTTTTGACCGTCCACTTCCAACCGGAGCAGAACAGAGTGCAGGGGTGGTGTTGAAGGCTAACATCAGTGAGAGGTAGCCGCCCACAAGCTGTCCTTTATTGGGGATCTTAATAGCAAGTGCTCTAGGGAGGTTCCGCAAGAATTACGTGGGTTAACAGATAGAAAAGAGTTTAAGGCGCGCCTGATCCTGCAGTCACTCAGTAAACACCATCACCCTTTCCCACAGGTTAGGGTCCTTCTGACTTGGTCAAGCAAGTCTCTCCCCACGTATCTTTCAGCTGATTTTTAACCTTTATTTAAAGGCAGAATAAATAGTCTCAGTTTGGCCCTTAGAAGAGGTTCCTAGTTTTGGTTCCCTGGAGTTCTGACCAAGTAGTTTTTCTCTCTCAGGCTTTCTGTATGTCTTTTCTCTTCCTGTCTACCAGTCACTCACAGGAGGTGTCTCGGCCCTCCCTGTTGCTGCTGTCCGGGTTGGAGTTTCTCCTGACAGGTTTTCTTTCATGTTACTCTCACGAAGGCAACAGCCCCACTCCTGCCGCTTTATCAGCTGCAGAGGACCTGATCAACCATGCCGTCCAGAATGGCTACCTGTCACCCCAGTACATCCAGCCACTGCTCTTAAAAGAAGAAACCTGCTTGATTCCTCAACATTCAGAGATGCCCAAGAAAGGTAAGGCCTTCAGCCCAGTCCACATGTCTCTACACTGCCCCCGACTGCATTTGGGAGAATTTTCCTGATAGGCTCCCAAGGGTTTCTTGGGCCAAGAACATTTCACATGTCACAGCTATGAAATCAGGGAAGTTATTAGTACTTTTTTGTCAGTGAGGATTTGATCAGGGCTTGGACATGCTGGGCGAGCACTCCACTACTGAATGACATCCCTAGTAGTCAGAGAAGTTAAGGACCATGTTTTCCTTGGCCTCTCCATCCTTCCAGACAATGTGGTGTTGTCACAGACCCATTCTTGCCACAAATATATGTGTACTCAGTTTCTTCTGAGTCTACAAGAAGCACGAAGCCTTCAGATTTACTGCACATCTGTGAAAAAAGTCAGACAAAACTCTCTCCATGAAGGAACCCGTGCTTCAGTGAGGAAGGTAAGAGCATGAACAAGCAACAGATGAAGTGTGTTAGAAAGTGTGGAAGGGAGAGGGGGAAGTAGGGTGTGCAATGGAGTATACACACCCCCACACCCACTCATCCCCACCCACCCACATACACACACACTCACCCACATACCCCCACCATCCCCATACTCACCCACACAATTCACCTACACAATCCCACACCCACACCCATACACCCTCACACCCACATACACACACCCACACAACCCACTCACCCTGCACACTCACACACCCACACACACTCACACACTCAATACACCCCCACCCACTCATCCATCCACACCCACACTCTCACACACACCCATACCCCCACACCCCCCCACTCACCCCACACCTCCACACACTTACCCACACACACTCACCACCACACACCCACACACACCTGCACACATTCACTCTGACACCCCCTACACCCACACCCACACCCACCCACACTCATTCGCCACACACAACCACAGCCACACACACACACACACACACACACACACACACACACTTACCCCCACCTTTCCAAAACCAGCCACCTTTTCCATGACTGTGGTGCTTAGAAAAATTTGAATATACAGGCAATGCTGATACGAGAATGACTATTCTAAGAAACCAAATAATGAAAATAATGTACTAGCTTAGAAAGAATGTTCAGTAAATTAAAACCAATCAAATTAATTAGCACTTTTAGCAGCTTAGCTTTCTGCTAACACAGCCTTTCTCTCTGATCCAGTGATATTTAAAAAATTTTTTTTGAAATTATAAATCTCTAAATAAAAATTTTCTTACTTTTGAGCTGGTAGTATTTTTCTTTTTTATATTTCCACCTTATTCATTCATTTATTTTAAGACAATATTTTTCTCATTTTACATACCAAGCCCAGTTCCCATTTCCTCCCCTCCTCCCCCTACCCAACCTCACACCCACCTCACCACCATCCTCTCCTTAGAGGGGGTAAGGCTTTCTTCCCTTGGAGAGTCAAGAAAGTCTGACACATCACTTTGAGACAGGACTAAGCGCCTCCCCTCCCCCCAATATTTAGGCTGAGCAAGGTATTTGTTCAAAGAGGATGAGCTTCAAAAAGTCAGTTCAAGTCCTCGGGATAAATTCTGGTCCCACTGTCAGTGGCCCCACAGACTGTCCCAGCCACACAATTGTCACCCACATTCAGAAGGCCTAGTTTGGGCCTATGCAGGTTCCCTGGCTGTCAGTCAGGAGTCAGTGAACTCCCACTAGCTCAGGTCAGCTGTTTCCATGGGTTTCCCCATCGTGGGCTTGACCCTTTTGCTCACAATGATAGTTCATTAACATTGTGAGTTCTTTGTAGACTGTATATTATTTCCACATCAGCTGAGTTGATTTGCACAGTCCCACCTTATTGTATGGCACACTTGTAAGCATGTAGACATCCTGTGTTGTGAAGAAAACAATCATGCCTCTGTCTGACCAGTCTGTCTCTTTCTGATCTCATATTGGTTCTTACATCATTAGAATCCATGCTTTTTACTCGAGTGTCCTGATCCGGGTGCCTGGCCTTTCCAAACTCCTACCAAGTCACACGTAGAGCACTGGTGAGAGACTGGTGCGAACTGGCCTTTGGCTGTTTCTTGGTTCACAAGTGTACCAAGCAAATTTTCATCCCCTTGGTTTTTTATTTTACCGCAGCATGCCCCAGTATCACCCCACGGTCTGCGTGGGAAGCCAGAGAGACACACTGCTCTCAGATGAACCTGCCAGCCAAATTCGTCATCATCATCCACACCGCGGGGAGAAGCTGCAATGAGTCCGTGGACTGCTTGACTCGTGTCAGAGACATACAGTCTTTTCACATAGACCATCAAGACTTCTGTGACATTGCATATCAGTAAGTGGGAGATGGCCCTGTGGCTTCAGCGCAGTGGAGGGCAAAGCTACGGGAGCCCAGGTGTCTTACACGGGCCCCACACCTTATTCTCGTGAGAATCTGAACTGGGTAACATTCAGGTCACAGTTTGGGCTACCTGACCTCTCAGGCATGTTCTCCAGTCCTTCCAGATCAGAAAGACTGAAAATACTGCAGAAGGGGTGGTGGGAAAGCATGGTGGGCAGAGTAGGGGTGTGCCGTCTTAGGTACCCTGTCCTAACCAATAAGGGGTGATGGTCCTGGCCAGCTCCAGCTTGTTCTCTCTGACGTTAGAGCCTTGCTAATCTTCTGCTGCTCACCACACAGCACCTTTAACCAAGCCCTCTGGGCTCCTGTTCATCTCTACAGTAGGGAGTACATTTCCTGTTTGAAGACAGGGATTGAGATTATTCTTTCATGGTTCCTTTCGTGCCAGGATTAAATTAAAGAAACATTATTAATCTAATGAGATACAGAAGACATTAGGGAGATGCCTGTGCTGTCACAGATGGGACTCAGGGTTAGAGTACAAGGGACCTCAGTTATTTGTCCAGGACTTACACAACGAATCTTGTGACTGGTCTCAGATGGATTTGCTTCTGCAGTGTGCCACTGATATTCTAGCTGTATCGGCCCCCATCTCTTCGTAAGGGCAGCCTCTGTATGTAGGAGAGAACATGCTTCATTTTCCAGGACTTTTTGTAGTCTTGCTATGGTCACAGCAGGTAATAGGGAACTGACTACAAACTTGAAAATCACAAACTGGAAAACACCAGGTGAGCTGATTCTTGTTCCTCAACTTGTAAACCTACAGTGGAATCTGCCCACCTCCATGTGTGGTGTGCTGTTACCAACACTGACATGGCTGTAACTGGGTGAGGCTCCCACTCATGTCTCAACTAATTTTGTAACTAGCATTTATTGGGTGCCTACTCTGTCTAACACTAGGCGAGATTGATATGGTCCCTTCTCTTGTGGGCTTGAGAGAAACAATAAACAGATAATTACAATGCAGAATGTCAAGCCCAGTGTTGGAAGAAGATCAGGGCACAGGGAAGATGAGCCCGGAAGTCTTTGGAGGAAAGAAAGGTGTCAGAGAAGAACTAATGAAGAGGGGCATCTTTATTGGCACATGAATAAGGTGTGGGGGTTGGTTGGCAAAGAGGAAGTAGTCTAGTTAAAGAAGAATAACATATTCAAAAGCTTGGGCTATAGATAGAGCGTGTGTCTTTGAGGAAACAGAACATGCCCCACTCAAACCTGAAACTGGATTTCCAAGAGAAGGGTAGTGAGGTAGGGTCTGTAGGAACCCAACTACTATGTGGATCTTGTAAGTAAAACTGAAAACTGTCTTTGTGTGAAGGTGGACTGGAGAGTGTTTGGAAAGTCACACCCTTTCATGTTGTGATGTACGTGTGTGTGTGCCACATGCACGCCTGGTGCCTGCAAAGGTCAGGAGAGGGTGTTAGACCCCCTGTTACTGGAGTTACAGATGGTTGTGAGCCACTATGTGGGTGCTGGTAACCAAACCTGTGTCTGGTCAAGAGCATCAAACACTCTCAAGTGTGAAACCCTCACTCCAGCCTCCTGGGTATGACTTTAAGAGTGTGTTGGAAGGAGGGAAAACTCTAAACAGGGTGCTGTTATAGCAATCCCAGGCGGAGCTGGATAGCGGCAGTTGTACAGGAGCCGTGGAGAAGTAAGAAACTTTGCTAAAAAAACATAATTGATGAGTGATGGGTAGTAGTTGAACGGGGCCAGGAGAGGGAAATCTTGGATTTAGGATGACACCTCATTTTCTGGCTGCAGAAAATGCAACAGGCAACTAGTCTCTTCGACATGTTGGCTTTTATAGCTAGTAGTTTAAGCTGTGGGAGGGAATGATGGTTTAGTCTGGGTGAATGCACTCAGTGGAAGGAGAGAAGAGCGAGGTCGGGGTCCTAAGGAGGAAGCACAGGGCTCTGAGAAGCACAATGGCTAAGGAAGGTAGGCATGATGCGCCGGACGGAGGCACAGTTCGGAGCCGTGCCTTTGCTCCTGACTCCGGGACGGAGGCACAGTTCGGAGCCGTGCCTTTGCTCCTGACTCCGGGACGGAGGCACAGTTCGGAGCCGTGCCTTTGCTCCTGACTCCGGGACGGAGGCACAGTTCGGAGCCGTGCTTTTGCTCCTGACTCCGGGACGGAGGCACAGTTCGGAGCCGTGCCTTTGCTCCTGACTCCTGCGCACTGGCACATACAGGACATGTAGCAGTATGCGATAAATGAATGCATGGAAGGACAGATTAGTGTCGGAAGGGATGACTGAAGAAACTTGTGCTCCTCAGACTTTCTTGTTTCCTTTTACCCAATCCTAGCTTTCTAGTGGGCCAGGATGGTGGAGTGTATGAAGGAGTTGGCTGGAATATCGAAGGCTCTCACACCTATGGATACAATGACATTGCTTTAGGAATTGCCTTCATGGGAAACTTTGTAGGTAAGGCATAAACGGGGCAGAGGGTTCTGCCTAATAAGATATCATGTGGAACATTCGGGAAACACCAGGCAGATGGGGACAGCTTTGTGACACCGGAAGTACCTGGTAGCATCAATAGGATATTTTATAAAACCCTCAGTAAAGAATGACTGCTACTAGGAGCATCTCCCAAATAGAATATTTGCCTCCAATTCGCCCATATCCACCCCAGACTATCCCACTTTATGTCCATACCCAAGGCAAGCCCAGAGCAAAGGTGAAAAAAAATGTGTTTTGAAAACTTTGGTATCTTTATGTCTCATGTGGGAAATGTGTGTCCTTCCTCAGTAACCATGGCAATGATGTTAGGATGCAGCATTGCCTGTGATGGCAAAGCAGAGGATAATCCCATGGGCTGTATTTGTTCTGGACATACTGAGAAACTGTGCCATCCTATATGTTATATTCCAGGGCACTTCTGAATTTTCTAAAGAAATTTTGGCCAGATGGAATTAGGAAACCAAATAGTTTTGCCTTGCTTTATGCCTAATTAATTGTTGGTAATTGTGGGACAGGCTAGGGTGAGAGATGGGGAGACTGGCATCTGGGTGCCTTTCACTGCCACAGCCAAGCCGCTTTGAGATCTTAATGATTATGGGTAAATGTGTTTTGCAGAACAGCCACCAAATGCAGCTGCCCTGAAAGCTGCCCAGGACTTGATCCAGTGTGCTGTGGCAGAGGGGTACCTGATTCCCGACTATCTGCTAATGGGCCACAGTGATGTGTCCAACATCCTGTCCCCTGGACAGGCACTGTATGACATCATCAGGAAATGGCCTCACTTCAAGCACTAAGAGAGGCCTCAATCCCATCTGAGGATGCTCTTGGTCCTGATGGGTACCCGTCCTTACCTCCCACCTTGGCTCGGCACCTCTGTCACGTCCTCTTTTCACTGTTTCTCTTAGTTTCCCCTTCTTGCATCGCAATTACAGCATCTTCTCTTATTCACATCCTCTAATGTCTCCCAAGCTTTGCACTTACGTTCTCAGGGTCTGGGTGCTGCTTCCTCTGTTCAACTTCCTCTCCAAAGGACGCCCACCTGCTCAGCCAGTGAGGCTCTTTCCCTTGTTATCTGTCCCTTGTCTTGTATGCAGTCATCTATGGTCTGTCTGGCAGCTCCAATGCTCATCCATAGCCCAGCCCTCCTGCACATACCCGACTTGTACATGTTTGAATACGCATTGAAGGACTGAGATTCCCCTCAGACATATCTATTTTCCCCTGAGTTGTCGTATTTTCCAGGACAGCAGCTGACATTTCTTTGTCACTACATATCCCACGACAGTTCCTGAGCTGAGACTGATACATTGCATGCTACAGATGTTAGATGTAAAAACAAACAAAAAACACAAAAAACCTGGATGAAAGAGCTGATCCCAGTCCCTTCCCGCCTGCCCACTTTCTTCATCACTGCCCTGCTCGACAGGTCCAGCAGTCTACTGGCCCCTCCAGGAGACACAAGCTGGCTGCGGTCTCCTGTCTCCAGTCTTCTATGCCTTGTCCACAAAGTACTTCAAAGACCAACCAAGCAGAGCTGCTTTCAGAGGTGCTGCTGTTCAGTGTCTGTGGTTGCCTGGGCCTGGCTGGGCCCTGCTGAGCTGAGAGAGGGCTCAGAGCATTTGTATCCTGCAGCACCCCATCCAGCTCCTCCCTCCTAGAGGACAGCCCCTCTCCCCCATTGCTGTTTCAAGGATGTACACAGGCTGGTTCTTGCTGTATTGGACACAAAGAGAATGATGCATGAGCATGTTTCCCCATCTGTGAAGGCTCCTTTGGTGCCCAGGTTAGGCTTTTAGAGTGTTTACACATCTCTTGCAACACGGTGAGCCTTTCCAACCTCACATTTACTCAGGCCTTTGCTTTTCACGAACTCTTGCCCTTGAATGTCATTAGATTGTCTCTGTTCAATCTAATTGTCATTTTTCCAAAGGCCTCCTGGGCATGTTATCAGGAGAAGGAATGATTTGTTCAGTGGTTCAGGCTGTTTCTGATTTACACACAGTCTCTGTCAGAGACTTTTGACAGTACAGTCTTTTCTGGGTGGATAGAGGCTGGGGACAGACTTCTCAGAAAGGGTGAATTTTAACACCTCCCATACAGGAAGTAGTCTTAGGAGCAGTCATGAGATGCTAAGAAGTAACTCACCCAATCCACCTGCCACAGTTTGAATGAACCTTGAGACATTCATATATTAGAAGTTCAATCCCTGACAGGCCGTAGTGCTGAGAGATGGGCTCTTTTGGAGGTAATCAATGTATTCATGTTGTTGCTGTGAAAATGAGTTCGTTATGAAAATGAGTGTGCCCCCTCCCACCCTCTTGTGCTTTCCCACTCTGCCGGGGGTGCTACAGCAAGAAGGCCTTGACCGGATGCCGACCTCACAGTGTTCACACTACACAGAATAAATCTGTTCTTTTTGTAAATTACCCAGTCTCGAGTATTCTGTTAAAGAAGCACAAAATGGACTAAGACATCAATTTTGGTTTATTGACTTTTCTTACTAGCCTTCAAAGTAGAGGTCCCTTCTCTTCAATTTAACCCCCAATTCTAGGACATGAGCTTTGGATGTCAGTATGCCGATTTCTCAGAAAACTAAGAAACAACCTATCTCAAGACCCAGAAATACCACTTTTGGGTATATACCCAAAGGATGCTCAATCATACCACAAGGACATGTGCTTAACTATGTTCATAGCAGCTTCGTTTGTCATAGCCAGAACCTGGAAACAACCTAAATGCTCCTCGCGACCAAAGAATAGATAAGGAAAATGTGGTACATTTACACAATGGAGTACTACACAGCAGAAAAAAATAATAACATCTTGAAATTTGCAGGCAAATGGATGATGGATCTAGAAAACATCATATTGGAGGGGAATTACAGGGGTGTGTGTTCACCCCCCATCTCTGTCTCTCTCGGTTGCTGTTTACTCCAAGCTATCTTACGTTACAGATTTTAAGTATATGCTTTAACTAAACTCTCTGAGTTTAGCTAAGCCCTCAGCAGGCAAGGGCCTTTTCAAAGTCAGTTCTGAGGAAGCCATTGCAGGCAGTTTGCCCCTTTTGTATCTTTTTCTTGAGAACTTCTTCCTAGCTCCCCATCCGTCAGGTTAGAGAGAATACTAACAGCAGCCTCCGATGGCTGATAGGAGGGCTGAACGAATGGCTGTGAGCAGGAACCTTAGAACCCACTCTTGACGTTCAGTCACTGTTCGGGGGAGGCATGCATAGTGACAAGCATCACTGTAGTGCCGGTACAGCTGACTCTTAACCGGTTTGTGACTCTGGGCGGGGAGAGGGTGGGATGGGGGAGGGGGAACGTGTGTGTGTGTGTGTGTGTGTGTGTGTGTGTGTGTGAGGGCCGTGTGCTTTCCTCGGCGCGCACCAGCCTCAGCCACACGGGGGAGCTCTGTGTGGGCTGAGTTTGTGATGGACAAGGAGGAGCTCACAGGCTGGCAGGCCCGAGAGAGAGCCTATGGTGCAGAAGAGCCAGTGCATCCTTCAGGACTGCTGGTCTTCTGGGGCTGGGCCCGGCTCCTGAGTTCACTGACTTGGTTGTTTTCCACGGTTTAAGCAGGCAGTAGAGGACAGTCTGTGAATTGAGCACTGCAAAGCGCAAAGCCCCTATTTTACCTGAGTCTGAACTCCAAGCAGGTACCTGGCTTGTTCCTTTCCATCCAGTGAGTTAAAGGAAGGCACTCTGGGTCTGGGGTGAAGCACGCTTCCCAGCATCCCCTGGCGGAAACCACACTGCAGCCTTTTGCCTAGTCTTTCCCACCCCTCTACCTGCCTGCTTTCTACGCCCCTGTCCCCATCCTGATGCCTCCAGTTCCTCTTGCTTCTAAAGGTGCTTTTTAAAGGTTAGCTTTTCCAGAACACTCACTTCCTGGTGCCCACAGACTCACAGACCTCTTGGTGGCTTATCCTCCTCCTGCCCCACCCCCCCTCAATCCTGGCCTCCCTGGGAGCTGGACCTGCTCTTTGTGGTAATGTCTCTAGGGCCCCACCCAGGGCCAGGCCTATTATTGGGGCCAGCTAAGTGTCTGTGGAATGAAGCTTGGGTGGGGTTGTCTGGGGAGGGTTGTGGCTTCCCACTCAGTCTTAGATACTTGCTGCAGAGTGGAAAATCCCACCGATTTTATGACTCAACCCAGCCCACTTGCTGTGATCTGCCAGATTAACTCCCTAATTCTAGGCCATTCATTGTCCTCACCTTGTGGTGGCTTCCTCGCCAACTGTGAGATCTGAGGAGTCATTATTCTTCAGGACCTATGTATGTCCCCTCTGGGCAGTCTGTGATCCTCTCCCTGGTGACCTCAGCCCTGAGAGCATGTGCCTGTTGCCGCTGTCCCGGGTCCCTTTCCCTGTCCTGTGTCCGGTTGCTGCTGTCCTGTGTGATGCCCTTTCCCTGTCCTGTGCCTGCCCTCATGTTTCCACGCTCTTCCCCTTTGTCCCTTGGCCTGCCCGGTCTACACTTCTGCATCTTTTCTTCTTCTGTTTCTGTCTTTGCTCTTCTCCTTCCCACATCTTCACCTGTCTCTATTTCCTGTTTTTTCTTTGCCCTTCAGGGTATTTCGCTTTCTGTCTCTATGTGGCCATCTGGTTACAGCGTTTGCCTTTTCTCTAGAATATGCTAGAATAGACAGAGGACAGGATGGTGAGAATGTGTGGTGACATCAAACTTTAGCTCAGGAGATCCTCAGGGTTTAGCTTTACGCCCCCACCTACGCTGTGTCCCTGAGGAGACCACAGATGTCAAGAATGGGAGAAGAGGGCAGAAGGCCAGGGTGTAGTGGTTCTGGGGAATGTGAAGCTCTTTTCAGGAGCTTAGGGGCAGGCAGAGCAGGTTCAGGTGTGTTTCTGGAGCAGCAGGTTCTGCCAGGCAGGGCTGTAAAGGGCAGGAACTTACAGCTGATCTTTGAAAGGGGGAAGGCGTTAATTACATGGGAGGAGTGGTGGGAGGAAGTGCAATTCCTGGGAGGTGTGGCGTACTTTGGGAGGTCTTTCCACAGTGGACTGAAGTGAGAAATGTAGCTTCCTGGGCAGGGAGCTGGGGGCCCCTGGAAGGGAGGCTGGGCGAACCCGTGACCCAAGTGATACAGTTATTTTGCAGGAGAGCTGAGGAACTCCCTACTGACCCCCACACTCTGCTCCCACTTCTAGAAGTCTGAGTCTTAAGGTCCCCAAATTAGGAATGACTCGTGTTGTTTTTAATTCCCTCCATCTTTCCCTGGACCCCATCACTTGACTTCCCTCCTAGATTATAAACTCATCGGCGGGGGAGGGGGTCATGTTTACAAGTGTGGGCACACAGTAGGTCCTCAGCTAGTGCCTCAGACTTGAACATGTGATCTAGGGAATGAGAGCCTGCCATTCTCAGTTGGTCTGTCATGGAGCAGGTGAGAACTGCCGTTGTTTTTTTCTGGCTCTGTATTTGCTGAGCTCTTCTGGGCAGATGTGAAGAAGGGTCCTAACACGCAATGACGATATCAGGGGGAAACTGAGGATCAAAGTGAGTCGTGTTACCCACAAAATGAATTCCCGGGAGAGTGACTGAGTGTCTTCTGTCCTTTGCTTGTCCTCTCCATGTAGATGCTCTGTGCAGGGTGCACATCACCTGCGGTTTTGTTTAAGCTCTAATTCTGCAGAGCAGTAGATGTCTTCCCATCAGATGAGAGGAAACAGGAAAGATTTGGTGGGATTATGTCATTTTCTTAAGGTCACACAACAAGCAAATGCCGGTACTGGATTGGGTCACTATTTCTTTGTCACACCAGTGTCTTCTCGGTACTCTCAAGCCTTTGTAGCGGGTCCCTGTCAGAGTTAGATGAATTCAAATATATCCCTTGAACCAACAGTATGCTTCAGTTGGCATGATGTGCAAGACCCTAGATTTTGGGTTCATGTCCTCCTCCTTCTCCTGTCTCTTTCCCAGCTTCTGCAGTGCAGCCCAGGACTACTTCACTTCTCTGGCCACCACACCACGCCATCAGCCCCACTTCATCACGGGTGCGGTTGGCCACCTCTCACCCCAGCACGCCTTTGCCATCCTGTTTGTCAGCCTCGCTGGAGGACTCTGGTTCGTCTTGATTTAGAGTCATGTCAACAGTTCCCCTATAATTCTAATCTGTTGAAATCCTTCTGAGTCTTGGTTCCATCATTTTCTTTGTCAGTGCTCACTTCTTTATCCTTAGATCACCATCCGCCCATCAAACACCCTTGTGTATTGGGCAACCCGCCCAGGGCGCTTTGATGGAGATCGCCCAATCTGACCTACGGGGGAACGCTTCTGTGCACAGGAGGGTGATGTTGTCTCTATTTTACACGCGAGAAACAGGCTTAGCTGAGGCCCAATGTCTATTTCTCTGCTATTATTTTGTGTGGGTTTTGCAGAGATCTGCCTCCAGCTGTCCATAATTCCTAACTGCTTGTTGTGTATCCCAGGCTGGCTTCAAACTCACCGTGTAACCGGAGATGGCCTTGGCCTCCTAATTTCTCTGCTTTTGTCCCCTTAGTGAGCCATCATGCCC